CAAATTTTGGTGTAAATACATTTTTTTTTAATAGAGATTTCCAAGCGCAATCTCACGAACACCAAAATCTACCATCCATACATAAAAAAGAAGACGAAGAAGAAGCACCTTCAAGGTATCGCGATATCACAACTACTTAAAAAGGTTGCTCGCGATCTCACGTACACTTTTGTGCATCTGGAGAACTCTATATGTCTGTATGGACCATAGCAGCTATAAATACGAATGGTATCAAAATCAGTTTTTATTTTAATATTTTAGCTTGTGAAAAATCAGATTTTTTTACACGGTACGTATCTCCCGAGTAAAAAAAACCTGTGTGTAATTCTTTATGAATTTCCACAATCAAGATTCTAGGCTGACGGTTTTAAGTTTATAAGCTAAAGAAATTCACTAAGAATGAGGTTCATAATTTCTACTGAATAAAATTCCTCTGTCCGTCCCCAAGGCATCGGGGTAATAATTTTCAATACCTCAACGTCATTCCTAGTTGCTTTCTGGGGCTTCTTTAGCTCAATCTGTAAAGGCGCAGCTATAAAGAAAAAAGAAACCATGCTGGAGGCCGCTGGGTTCGATTTCCGGTCCGACCTAGGAATTTTTCGGGCTGAAAATGTCTTGACTTGCCGGTTAGAGGTACCGGTATGAAACCCCAGCAAATCAGAACAAAGGTTTAGCTCAAATTCTATAGCTACTTGCACAATTTGTATTTTTTTCACCTTATTGTAAACGTGAGGTTCTGTAAAACCCTATGAATTGACTGCAGAATTCTCGTAATCATAAATTTAGCGCTGACCAAAGTATTACAGAAGCTGTAACAGTTTGACTTGTGTCGGGGTAGGCACTCACCTTTGGTTGGGAAGTGTTACGGTTGAAACTGAATGCAGTAAATTGCAATATTTCATTTCTGAAATGTATCAGGCTATTTTCGAAAACATTTGTAGATCTGTCATCATTATGAGTTCGTTATATGGAGGCCCCGGGAGATCCACCAGAAAATTCGGAACATTCGTAAAAGCAGTCAATGCATTAAACTAGATTTGAATTTGTGCATTTGTTTCCGGCATGGCAACCCAAATGGTAATGGTACACAGTAGAATGATGCAAAATTTGAATTTTTCGCTCCACAGTGCTCAAACGGTTTTAAATTGGGTCCTGATTAGCCATCAAAAATTTGAGCTCATTTAGTGAGAAACTGACTTGGCACAAACCATTTGAAGTTTATATGGAAATTACTATGGGAAAACAAATATCTATCATACATATCACCATATTTCTCTGATACAAAAAATAAATTATGTTTGTAGAAAATTCTATCAGCTAAAACTTTGTCGTACATCATTTTTCCATAAAATGTAAGGATCAAATATTGTTAATGATTCAAGTCACCAATTTCCTATAATTATGCTCAATCAACTGTTCAGCAGGCAACATTGATGTTTCTGGCACGAAGAATAGAGCGCAAAAATCATGGTAGAGATCGAAGTGTGCTCTGCTTCTGTACGGACGCGAAAAATGTCTGAGTGTCAAATTTACGGTTTTATTTTTTCTTGGCGTTTTCTGATTTTAGTGCAAGAAAGTGAAAGTGATCGGTTGGAAATGCATTCCAAAGTGTTTTCGTTTATCATAATCGATGATTCTGATTGGAAGCAGGTGCAAGAGCTTATCTGAAGATCCGAAGGAATGTTATGAAATATTTAGCTAGAATTAAGATATGCAACAGTCTTTCAAGTATTGGCTTCACGTGCAAACCATCGTTCATTTGGTGAGTTCGTTCCAGTTTATTTGTTTACTTGGTTCGATACCATCTATCAGTTTTCTACAATTTTGTCTTGGACATCTTTTCAAAGAGCCACGTTCATGCTGTAATTTGTCGAGCTAACGCATGTCCACAGGTCCAATAGAAAGATAAGCAGATTTTCGGAGTTTTGAATTCGTTAGATGTTGTAATGGTGATTTGTGTTGTTGAATGCGAAAGGAGATTGGACGACGGGTGTTTGACCCATAGAGCCTTTTTTTTTTCCTTTGGTTTGTTTTTTCCGTCGATCTTGTTTTCCGTGCTGAGCACCAATGCTACCGACGTGCCAGGAAGGCAGCTTCCACACCTGGACCCTACCTATCGACCCATCAACTCATAAACCTGGGACCAACGGCTTTACTTCCCATCCGAAGGAAGGCGTGATCAGAGATGTTATGCCTCAGAACATCCCGGCGGCGCCGACTGGGATTGAACCCAGGCCTGCTGGGGTGAGAGGTAATCACGCTTACCACCACACCACTGGCGCCGTTATCCCCATAGAGCCTGTCAATTTCGATTTCAGAGTGCCGCAGTCGGCGGTTTTATGATTCGTGAGCGCTCGCGATTCGTAGAATCGTTGATTGTGACTGCAAGTGGATTTTGCGGGTTTTGTGTGTCGGACGCTTGATTTTTGGCCTCTTCTTGTGTCTAATATGTGCAGAGTATCATTATAGCCTTTAATGGTTTTGAGATTCCTGGTTGCGTGAAATATATTTGTAAGAATATCTTTTTGAGATATTAATAGTCACGTTTTGTTTGTAGTTTATATTTTATTTCTTTCATGTAATCATCGTAAATAATAGTTATTCAATAATAGATAGTTCATCCATATATTCTTATATATTTTCGATCGATTTTGCTTACCGAGCAGAAAATCATGGATTTAACCCCAAGCTCTTCAACAGCACAATAAATCGCCACCATCATTTGTATATTTGATATTGAACATTAGCCTCGGAAACTATTTGCATATCAAGCGCAAACGTAGTCCTGTATTGTCGCGAAGCGTTATGGTTCTAAGATGTTCGATGACCCTGGAGGGATCGTTTTTGCTTACTTAGCACAAAATCATGGGTTTAATCCCAAGCTCTCCGTCATGACTCTTAAAATTCATGATCACTAAACAAAATGAATATGTTCTTTCGATAGCCGGCTATCTAGAGATTAAATAAACAACAAATAAACAAAACATAATTTTGTTTGCATCGCCAACTTGAGGTGAATCCTAACCGAATACCCTACCCAACCCTCCAACTCCGTAGCACTTATGAGGGTGTCGCAAAGTCGGTGGCCTCTCGTTAAGTAAGTACTACCTCAACATTTCCTTCCCTATCCCTAGTTATGGTAAAGATGGGCGTGGCCGGGAATAGCGACAGTCATGCTTCTGTTACTCTTGTTTCGATTGGAACCAATGTTTACTCCCCAGCATTATTCCTGAAAGTAGTCTAACTGAGAATTTCAGAAGAGACGTGAGTGTCGCTAGTATCCAATCTACGAAGTATATCATAACAACGCTAACGCTAACGCTAACGCTAACGCTAACGCTAACGCGTAGAATAGAGTACAAAAATCATGGCTACTATGTCATACATCAGAATACAGTGTTGCCCACAAAACAGCTGCTTGATCTTGCCATACGATTATCAATCTCTTAAACAATTAATAACTATTTAAATTGACGTTTGGCTGATAAACGATATTCCGCAAAGTTGTATCTGAAAAAATCACCATTAGAATAGCTATAGAACCTTTTATCAGTACAATATGGAAAAAGGCTAGAAGACAATGAACAACACATTTAAATTTCCCATATTAATTTCCATATAAACTTCAAATGGTTTGTGCCAAGTCAGTTTCTTACCAAATGAGTTCCATTTTTGGGAGGCCAATCAGGATCGGATTTGGAACCACTGTGAAGCGAAAATTTAAAATTTTGCATCAGTCTAGTGCGCAGGTTAATTTCCAATTCTCTCATTACGCCGCGCTAGTTTACATGTGAACTGTATATATAATCTATATATTGAAATCCTCACCATCTACGAGGTGTGGACATCTATGTGAAGTCCACACGTAGAATTCTGAACTTAACAGCCCACAAATTAGAAACATTGATCACCTGAACAACTTTCCCAAGACGGAAACTTTCTTAATCTTAAGATATATTTTATACAGGAAATTGACTTGCACGTTAGCGCCACATAGTGAGAAAATCCTGTACTACTTTTCTCTAACCAATCCGCCTCGACCTACTGTGCAATTTTGCCGAAGACAGTAACCTCTTATATGGCCAGAATCATGTGATATTCCATGTGGCCGTCTTACCCTTAGGGATGACCATCTTTACCCTGCATGATTTTTTTCTTTCATTATTTAGTCGAACCAAAGTGATATAAAATCATCAAATGAAAATCCTTGTAATTAGGGAAAGCACTCTAAAGATCAATATTCACCTAATTAATCGTGGAAGTTTGTTACAGTTTTGGATAAATTTTACTGCAAGATTATGGTGACCGGCTTACCCCGTCGTTCCCTATATATTTTTCAATTATTTGTCATGAACTATGCATTAAAACACTGTTGGGATCCACTTAAATTGTAGATGGGACATTTATAGACAAGAAAAAAGTAGGATACTTGGTTTAAATAAAAACACGTTGTCGTTCATCGATAATCCTGAATACTTCGATATGAAGTAAGCACCTAGCATCAAAAATTATACATGCCTCATTATGACAACAACAATCAGTGATGAATCCAAACAGAGCACTTGCAAACACATCCAGTGACCTTTGGAATGTTGAAAGCCCGGAGAAGTAATTAAATTAAGTTAAAGTTTTGCCATCTGCGATAGTGAAACTCAAACGACTTTACATCTAAGCTGTGCCACCTAACAGAGGAGAGAACCAAATGTGTGCGCCGTTGGGGATTGATGTTGATCGACTGATTACGCTACCTCACACCGCCCCACACGCAACAGGTGTAACTGTCTCGTGCGTGACATCAGGTTTCATAAAGATCAACAGTGAACGCTCAGATATACCGTGCTAAAGCCTGCTTATTTGAGAAACAACTTAGCGTCGTCGGTACTGTGAGAGATTCTGTTTTAAATTATTATGGCTTGGGATTTTTCATATCGTGTTGTTGATTTAGGTGACTGTGCAGATGGAATGAAACAATAAGTAATAGTTGTTTTCAATTTGTTTGCATTGCTTATTATAGCCTATCTATTTTTACTGACATCACCCATTTAGAAAAAAAAAACTAACAGTATCAATAAACCCCTATCATCATTAGCACATTCTCCATAATCCGGTTGTATTTTAACGTTTTACGTGCTGACAGTGCCATTTTGGTGATGATAGGCTCGCAGAAACGTACATATATAGAGGTTTGATTGATTGATCCAAACAGCTTATCACCGATCCAACGATGACTGGAGTTTGCGAGATTTGCAAAATGTAAGGTGTGATCCAGTGGAAATCATTGCCAAGAACTGTTGAGTATGCCTCGCTAGAACGGTCAGCCCCTGTGGCTGAGAACAGGCATTTTTCCCACCATTACGTCACCTATCAAGCGGATCAATGATTTGGGAAGGATTCTGAAAAACATTAAATGTTTTTTTTAATGAACTGTGCAAATGAACAAGCTAAAAATTCTTACGGAATAATATAGATTAAAGACTGAGCTCCCCATGTGCTGGGTACTAATTCTACCTTGTTGGCCAGCACTCCTTCAACGATTGCATTTGCCACGTAATCGGGAGTGTGAAACGGAAGGATCAAACTGGAAATAAAAAAAATATCATCAACTTTTCAAGAAATACAAATTCATCGTCAACAAACTTCAGATCTTGGACTAGATCTACAAACTGCTTCCGGGTTTTGATTCCTGTCGGATAGACGCAGGTCGTGTGCAAATCCTTCGATAAACCGTCCTGATAGAATTCATCTTCCAACGATGCCATGAGGCCTCGCACTCCATACTTGGTCGCACAGTAGGAGATCGTTCTTCCCACCGGAAGAAAACCTATTGAATGCGGAATGGAATCAATGGAACGGTCCAAAACACCAGTCATTTAAACTCACCTAACACAGAACTGATCGCGACGATGTGTCCACGGCGTCGCTCAACCATGCCGTCTTTGAAAGCACGGATTGTCTAGAATAAGGGAAAACACAAAATAACAAAAATTAAACAAATCTCTTTAATGATTGTTGTTGTTCACTTTACTATGCAGAAAGCCGAGTCTGAATGCTGATAAAAAATACAAGCAAAATAAAAATTTGGATTCAAGGTTTAATTTGCAATTATTTTTGAAAGATTATGTGTTGCAAACGATCATCATAAATAAAGGTTGAACATGAAAAAATCCGGACTCATTAAAAACACTGCTATCAAGGCATTTTTTGAGTATTTTTTTAAGAGTGTATACAATCACAGTAGGCATTGGTTGTCAGGATAAGTTCATTTGTTTACATCATGGCTTCACCGGAGCAAGCACGTCACGATTCGATCATGCACGCTCGAAACAAAAATCCTGGTTTATCCGCCACTGGCAGTTTTCGATCAAATTCATGGGCAGGAATTTTATACCTCGCATGACCAAAAGAGTGCCTCAGAAGAATTTTAAATCAAAAAGAAGTCGAAATTCCCGACAAAGTTTCTTGTCTGGCAAGCAATCTGCAGTTATGCGTTGAAAAGCGAAACTTTCGTTTTTTCTGCGACCATGAAAGAGTAAATTTACCAGGAGGAGTGCCTACGGAAGAGACTTCTGCCATTTCTGGAGTTGCATGATGTGGATTGCCTATTCTGACCGGACTTGAGAAGCTGCCACTACTCAAATTCCACCAAACAGTGGTACAGCGCAAATGGCGTCACAGTGGTGATGCATCCGGTCATTCGTGTTCATCCTTTATATAAGACGAAAAAAAGAAGCAACAACATTGGCTTCAAATACTTTGATTTGATAGGTCTCACCCTGGGTGCTGCAAAATACCGTTGGTTCTGGGACCGGTGTAGTTTTGATGCAATTTGTTTATAATTCGTAGTTTTTTCGTGTAGTTTTCTTCAATAAACATGTACAGTGCTACCAGGAAATTTACTATAGGGGTTTTGATATAATTTCCGTCCTACTAAGCACAACCCGCGCTTTACCTCTACCTAATCTACCTAATAAATTATATCTAATACTGCTTCTTGATTCTAAATTCGTCATACGAGTTTCAATTCCTTCCTAACGCATTGAAATGCCATTAGATTTTCTTCGTCCTACGCATAAACGTAGAAAAAGGGGATTCGCTAGGAGCGCTTCTTTTGTTTTGGGAACAATGAGCGTAAATATTCATACAATGCGCTCTAACAGGTTTTATGTTGTAGCTAATAAACTAATGGATCGGAACAAGCCTATTATTGATTTCTGCATGTTTTCTGAGTGATAGAATGGATATGGGCGATGGGGACGAAGTAGCGCTCTTTTTTTTTTTTTCTTTCCTCTATTTAACGTCGGTCTCTGTTTCGCAATCTAATGTCAATCACCGGCGGACATCGATTGCCATCCATTGACGGCAATCGAATGTGCAGGAAGGCAGCTTCCACACCTGCGTAGGATATCGCACCCAGTCAACACACATGGGGCGGAACCAACGGCTTTACTTCCTTCCGAAGGAAGACGTGACCAGAGATTTTTATGCCTCAGCAAAATCCCACCGACCTCGGCTGGGATTGAACCCAGACTCATCGGAGTGTTAGAAAGCAGTCACGCTTACCACTACACCACCGGCGCCGGCTAAGTAGCGCTCTACCCTACCTCAAATAAATGTAAACAACCGTTGTAAAGTAGGGCAGTGTCAAAGATGGTCGCGATACAGTCTGCACCGTTTGAAAAATGCATGGTTCGATTTTATCACTGTATAATAATTTTTTCGCGTGATTTGTAAGCCATTTCATGTACAGTGTATCTCAAAATTGATCGTACAGCAATACAGCAGGCTCTAAAAGTACAAGTTTAAAAGATACCTGTCTGAATTTTTGGGCAGCTGACTCAGCATGCATTTATAAATTATTGATTAATTATTGGCTAATTATTGGGCTTATTTGGTTAAGCTTAGAAAAAATTAGAGCAATTAAAAAAAATGCCTTTTTTCTTGAAAAACCTTATTTTTTTTAAATAAAATGAACATAACTTTTAAAATTTTGCTCATTTTTAATCGTAATAAAGATCATTCATCTGCCACGTATTTCAATATAATTCATCAACCAGGTAAAAAGTTGAAAATCGAGCGTTTTAGAAAAATAAATCTAACTTTATACAGGCTCCTTCAATAAAGACCAAAATCAATAAACATCTGTTCAATCACCAGCCACGGTTTTGAAAAAATAAGTTCATTCATTCATGTTTTAAAAATGTTCTACTAGGGTGTACGATGCCCCTGCTATTACACTATATACTGTCTTGATATAGGATCACATCCCATTTTTAAATTCAGTTACCAGTCAAATTGCTTTTGAACGTACGTTAAGATGATTTCGAAGGTCCTGAAATGATGAATGGGCTGCACGTAATGAGACGTGATTGATAATTCTCCCAAATATCCTGGTAAATACACTTTGACCAAGGGGTGGTCACTCTACACACTTGTTTTGCGGCAACTTTTTTATCAGTGTACCTCAGTGTGCCGCAGCTGTACCGGCAGTGCCAAGAAGTCATTGAGCTGACATTTGATTGCTTGTGAATAATGCCTTGTTTGGCAACCCGGTATTTTAACAGCTCTTGTTTTTGTTTTGTTATTCAATGTTTTCAAAAACGAAACGGACTCCAGTTGGGACTACACACTGGATGCATCCGTCTCCAAGGATGCCTGCAACGGACGACGGACGAGCTCCGTTGCTACACGATCTTTTCATCTTCGGTGGAAGGCCGACCCCGCACACCGAACGTCAACCAACTCTTCTGGGAGCTGGTGGAGGAAACGGATTTGCACCGAATTTTTCACCGCCCGAGCATCATCTGTCGGAAAACTGGAAACCAACACCGGCCGGAACACACGTCGGACTGATGAAGGACGCACCGCTGACCCGGACAATTCGATCAGCTTCAAGGTCTACAGCGCCTCCAAAACAATCGCTTCCCAGGCCAGCAAAAATCGCATTCTCCTCTTCTTCAATACCCCACCCGTATGCCGTCCGAGGATCTGCTGCTGACTGCATTCACCACCAAGGACTGCCACCCGTCGCAAGTGCGAATGTTCCCACTGAAATCGGAAGTTCCTCCTCCGGATTGGTCGAGTTCCCGAGCGTAGCCCTGGCGGTGAACGCCATCATGAAGTGCAGCCACAGCGCGATCGATCTCAAATGCACAAAACTCCCGTTCATTATGAAGCTGTTAGTTGGAAGTGCAAAAAGGCAGGAGTAAAAATAATTTGTTGAACTATTTGAGATTTTGCCAAGACGGTCCTCCGCCATTATATGTTGAACTATGGAATGATTGGTGTAGCAGCCACCGCCATGGATGTATTCGAGCAGTTCGAATGGTCGGATGGTAGTTTTTGTTTGGTTGTTGACTTTTCGAAGAAAACTCAAGCACCGCTTGTTGCGACCGGCCCAAGATTTCCAGCGTCGGCCACGGCTACACAAATTAGCGATGCAGCTCCCATGCTGCTGCTGCTGCTGCTGCTGCTGTTCCGTTTCCTCTAAAATTCGTAAAAAAAAAGACGGGCCAGCAGCAGCATTGGAAGCATCCGCAGCCGCAGCCGTGGAAGCTGCATGGCTAGTTCGAGTAGCCATGGCCGGAAACCTCAGTCAGGTCAAGATACCACTGTTAGCTGTTCTTCGTCTGGAAGGAAATGTGGATGCGACTGCCGTCACGGGTGTAACGATTTTTAGAATCCATGGCGAGACTTGGTGGAGATTCACGGTTGTTTTGAAAATAATTTGACTAGGAGTGGCAACATCAATCACATTTTAATACATGCACACTGCGCAGGCGCAGACAAATTCCAGTGTTGCCAGTAGCTTTAAAGATCAAAAAAATTGTAACCATGGGTGCCAAACAGCGCCAATGACTGCACCCGGGTGTGCCCAAGTTTGATTTTGGCACACTGTGTAGAGTGACCAACCCCTTGACTTTGACTTAAGTAACATTAGGGGGCCACCAAACGATGTATAATAACTTATGGCTCAAAAACCAATATATTTAAGCATGAATAAGCAATCAGATAAGTTTAACCTTGAGGATGATCAATATCCCAGAAATGCAGACTAATCTTTGAGACATGAATGTTTCCACGGTCCTCAATACTTTACATTCAGACTTTAGAGTTGTATCATGTTACAAGGCCATCTCGATTGTTGATAAGTCTTATTACACCCTTGTATCATGTTACAACACTGTAGTCTGAAAAAGGCACAAATTATCAAAAATATTAATAATTCCAGACTCTGTCTCGTTGCTGTTTTTTCTTGTTGATTTCATGCTTTTTTTTGGTATCCTGTTTTATGGGAAAGGCAAAGTTTTGGTTTGACAACGTATTCAATTCCCACTTGTTTTCTATTCCTCGATAATTTACGGCTCCCCTTGTTTCCCGCTGGATAAATGAAAGATTAGGAAGTAAGTATACAGTCAATTGTCAATTGGGCCGCTGAAACTATATGAATTACCGTGTATCTCTGTTGTCCATTACATACCAAGTGAAAACTTATTTTGCCGTAGAGTGTTGTTGTTTTTAGATGCTAGGCAACCCTAGAGGGATCGATTTTTTTTATGTATCTTTATTAGGAGACTTTATTATCCCACAACATAATAAACCGCCATCGTTGGGCACAGTTAATAACCCATAGTTGAATTGTTTAAATCATGAGTTTTGGAAAGGGTGTATGCGTGATCTAGTTTGGAAAACATTGTTGGCTGTAAGAGGCACGGTGGCTATAGAGCAACCGTTTTCGCTTAATGAGTAGAAGATCATGGGTTAAAACCCAAGCCTTATTCCATTACTGAGTTGATCTATAATCCAGGCCACTATTGTATAAAGCTGTTAATAACAGAAATTGGAGGAACGATTCAGAAAAGTTATAAGTATATTTAGACCATTGTGACGTACGCCTGATCCGGTTCGGAAAACATTTTTAACTACTTTGGAGGATTTCATTTCATTGTAATAGCT